GTGGTATATGGGGTGCTGGTGCCGTGGTGGTTGTCTCTGCAGTGCTTTTTGGGGCTAGTGTTATAGGAGAGGTGGATTCAGCCTTGCTGGGGCTGTGCTGGAGGCCCCTGAGCTCCAAAATCTGGGTTTCTCCCAGCTGACACTTGTAAGGTGGCTGAGTTCAACAAGAATTGAAGCTGAGTGCGCACCAGGCGGGAGGATGCTGTCTGTGACCAGGGTGTGTGGCTTTTCACAGGGCTCTTCCCTGCAGGGCCAGTGATGGAGAGGAATTGTAGAATCATGGAACGGTTTGTGTTGGAAGGGACTTTAAAGCTCATCTGTGGGAGATACGGACAGCACGACAACCAATGCGATTAAATGCTGACCCCTTATTGAGCCCGAATAGCTGTTTATATAACCTTTCTAACTGTCCACACGAACTCTATACAATCCCGACTGGCTAAGTCCACTAATGCATGCACATAAATACAGCTCATGATAGGCTTAAGCTTTCAGTACATGCGAAGGCTTTGTCAGTCCTAAAGTATGCAGAGTTTCTCGTTACCTAACTGGGAGTTGTCTTTCTCAAGCTAACTCCCTCATTCCACAGCTGCAAATATTCTTTAAATAACCTTATCACTAGGCCATGGTGCCTAACTCAGACTCTTGCTATTGATATGAGTCCTGGATCGCTCATGTGCCCATTTTGTTCCAAAGAGTCCTCCACAATTCCCCCTTCTTTTCTTTGAGCGATCCACACATTCTTAGTATTATCATTAAACCAGCCAGGTCTCTTAGCCATCCTACAATGCCTAGACTATTCAAGTTAATATATCCACACCGTATACATATGGTATCTATAATTCTATCTACACAAAATTGTTGACTGCTATTATAATGAATTAGCTTCTTACCACAATACACACAATTAGCTATAAAATACAGAGAACAACTTCCGCACAAAGGACAAGGAAAATAACCAGTTTTGATATTTTTTGTTGGGTCTAGCTCAAGTGATGGGTTCTAACCTCCCATTTATGTCCAAGGTTTCACCCATTGTGCTGGGATCCAGCGGAGTCCCTCACCTGTAAGCAAACTGCTTTAGCTATACGTTCAGCTGCTCCCATACCATTTTCCCCCCTTTTTTGTTTTAAGAGCTGGTTTTTTAACGTTTGATGTGCTTGCTCTACAATAGCTTGTCCTGTCTGAGAGTGCGGAATACCTTTCATGGGGGTCTCAGTGGATCACTTGCTACAACATATATCATCAAGCCTTATTATCACCCGTGTTAAGTGTAGCTAATTGGTTACAATTGTTTTTCACACGCTGTCCACATGCACTACGCTAATACATAGTTGGTTGGCTGGCAACACCGTGTTTCTTGGTTATTGCAACTGTCTGTTCTGTGTTTGTTCTTGGTCTATCGCTTGCCTTCTCCAGGTGTCCTTGCATGTATTCCAGTGTCCTTGGATGTATTCCAGAGGCCTTGGATGCATTCTGGAGTCTGGTCTACGTGACTTCAGCCAAGTACACGGCTCTTGCTGAGTCTTGCACAGGGCTTACTCCATTTCTATATAAGCATGCCCATTTTCCTTTAAGAAAGATCCTACAATTTCCCCTTTTTGTTTTTCTTGCGTTAACCAGACTGTTTTTACAATTTGTTGCATTTTTTTGCACAGCACATTGGAGTATACATAGTATAATGATTATCATCCTCCACACTCATCCAGTTCCAACCCCCTGCCATGGGCAGGGACACCTTCCACTAGAGCAGGTTGCTCCAAGCCCCGTCCAACCTGGCCATAAACAACATAAACCCACAACTTGTCTGGTATGGATTTGGAGACTTTACTGCTGCCCACTCTTGCACCTTCTGAATGCAGCAGATCTGAGATCATACCTCTTAGACAACACCAAACCATCACAGCAATGAGGACCTGCCAGGCCACCATGCCTGGCCCCTTCATAGCCTCAGCCTGTTGAGCCAGCACAGCTCACAGCCATTACCATGTTCTTCCATGTCTGTGGAATGACCTTTTCTTTGCAGAGTGGTAGGGCTGGGATTATGAACTGTGTGTGTATCTCGTGTCCCTGGGGGAATGCAGGGCGCTGCAGTCACCCTCTGTTTGCCCTGGACACCAAGGTCTGCTCCTGAGCTCTCTCAGGTCATGCTCTGAGCCAGCCCACAGATGGGGAGATGCCCAGGCTGTGCCTGAGCTGTCTCTGGGGCACAAACACTGCGGTCCAGGGGTGATGCTAAGATAGAGGTAATGTTACCCAGGTTCCTTTCCATCACGTGCAGCAGTCTGGCAGCTCCTGATGCTGCTGCTCTGGCTGTTGCCCTCTCTAGCAGGTAATCTACTGCATGTGGCAAAATTCCCCATGCAGGTGATATATGGGGAATCTGCTGAAAGGAATGACACAGCCAACAGCGCTGTTTGTTGCAGCTTGATTTGCCTCATGCTATTAATCTTCCAGTTACCACTGCAGATCTGATATGGTTTAGGTCTCTGATCCTTCCAGCTCTAGGAAATGAATGGGCAAAGCTGGGAGTGAGCACAGGTGATGGAGGGAATGAGCTGTTCCCAGCAGTGGGAGATTGGGCCAGATGGGACTTGGACCCGACAGCTTTATCCTGCCCCAGCTCTGCCTCAGTACCAGCCTGCTTGTGTGCACCCATGTGCAGTAATCCTTTGAATGAGGTGATGGACAAAGGGAAAAGGAATATAGCTTGTAATGGAGTGGAGTTGACAATAACATCATGAATTCTTCTGGGCAACACAGCTCAGGGGGGATAGTTGTGAATTGATTGTTGTAAGTAATGAAAACCATACCAAAGAAAGTGCTGAAGGGACTAAATCTGTATAGCTAGAAAGGATAGAATGTATAATACACTGTCCTGGTTTTGGCTGGGATAGGGTTAATTTTCTTCCTAGTAGTTGGTACAGTGCTGTGGTTTGGATTTAGTGTGAGAATAATGATGATAACACACTGATGCTTTAGTTGTCAAGTAGTTCTTGCTCTAAATCAAGGACTTCTTAGTTTCTCACGTTCTGCCAGCGAGGAGGGGCACAAGAAGCTGGGAGGGAGCACAGCCAGGAGAGCTGACCCAAATTAGCCAAAGGGGTATTCCATAACATAGAGCATCATGCTCAGCATAATTTATTTATTAGATACTTAACAGACTATTCTAACTTCTACAATCCCCTAATTCAGCTCTCGGATGCCTACTGTAGGGTTTGATTCTTTGATTAATTCTTCCAGAGGAACATGCAGATGGATAACCTGCTTGAATCTCCAAGAAGCTTCAAGGAATAGAGCCATCCTCAGCCTAGTACCCAGATTTGATTCCCATTATGGTCTGCAGCTCTTAAAAGTGAAACCTTATCTGCAAGAACTGGCCAGCTTGATATAATGGGTACCACTATCTGAGTATTTAATACTGGGGGGGGGAAACTGTTTGAACTGTCCTGCAGGACCCAGGGGGTTTCCAGCATTTTCCTTTGAATGGTACAGGATGAAAGGGACTAGCAGAAGAGCCAGATTAAGCTCAACCAACTCTTGCAGTGCATTGCTAACAATAGTACTGTCAGTAGCCACCAAAGCTCAAGCATTTACAAGACTAAACTGCTCTGTCTTCTAGGTGGTCAAAACACTGAATGCCTCATCCAGGAGAGTCCTGATACAGAGAACAACTCACCTGTTATGTCTGTAGCTTATCAAGATGTCATCATGGTTCCTAGATCTCTCCACTTGCCCTCTCCTGCCAACCCACCCAAGGACTTAATTCGCTGCCTGCCCCCTCATCTGTCCATGTACATCCTGGGTAAGGCTGCTCTGATTTTGGTTTCCCCAAAGGGTAACGAATGGTCTCCAGTGTGCTCAGGGGTTAGTCAATATGTGCCTTGAATTTCTTAGGGTTTTTGGATCAAAAATCCCTCAGTTCATGTGCTGCTGTGAGCAGATGCTGGGAATATCTGGCCGCAGAGGTCGAGAGGGAACGTGCGTGTCATAGCGTAATACGGGAGAACATCGTGTATTTGCAGGTATGATGCCTGGGCTTCTGCTGTGGTTACACACTTGATAAAGATGGTGTTTTCCTCCTACTGCCCAAGCCACTGGATGGAGCTGCTTTTACTAGAGGTTACCTCCCACTTTGCTCTGTTCCCTCTTCCTCTATCTGCAGAGCTAAGCCATATGAGATGCTCAAGACTGTCACAAGTGATCACAACAGAATAGCTTTTACTGACTTTGAGAGCCTGTGACTCTAAAGATGGATTAAAACATTCCTGTAATCAGGAAGAGTTTGGTCACAAATGCAAATACTGGACTTCCAGGAGCTAGTGGAAACTGGGCAGAGCTACAAGGGCTCCCTGAGGCACCTCAAAAGTTAGCTTTATTTGCTCCCTCTAGGAAGATGGGAATGTCAGATTTCCTTCTGAAACATCAGAGATGGTGGCTGGGACACAATAAAGCAGAACTTCTAGGAAAGGCTTGCCCTGGTTAGTACAGACCTGCCATACACAAAGCTAAGTGTGATGGTAAATACCTACAGAGACCATAGAAATCTCAGCTCTCTGTTAGCCTTAAAAGAAGGCTGAATGGAAAGTTTCACACATTAAAAATGAGTCTTAAATATTGATAAAGATGATTTGACAGCCTCTCATCTCAGTGGGTTGCGATTCTGAATCACCTGAGTGCTCACCAAAGATAAGATACAGCTTCTTAAAAGCTTATGACTAGAGTTTGGAAATAAATGGAAAGTAATTATTTTACCCAAAAGTTAAATCTACCAACAAAGTGGTAAATTCAAGCCAGGTCTCTTACACCACAAGAAGAAGTCAGCGTGTGCAGGTCTGCTTTGCATGTAGCGTCCTATGGAAGCACTGACACATGAGTAGCATCCATTGTGTACACGGACTCTGTAGTAACCGTGTTGCTTCTGCTGGTTTATTCTAGGGATTGCGCCCAAGAGGAGCTGTTTCTAACTATGCTAAAACAGTCAAAGTGGCAATTCCACAGTTAAATGAGGAGGGTGGTGTCATTGAAGCCAAAAGCACGGATCGGCAAAGTAAAATAAAGGTATGTTGGAAGTTGTTGGTCTTCCGTGGATCCTGCATTTCAATATTTGGGGAGGAAGGAGGATGTGGTGGTTTTGGAAGACAGGATAGTGAATTTGGACTTGCTTTTCTCTCCACCAGCTCCTGCTCCTGGTTTGTCCCATCATGAGCAATTCACAAGGACCAGCGCTAGCTTAGCACCTTCTTGCATCCCTGAACTCCTGCCTTGTCCTAATGCATCCCCCAGTGTCATGCATAGCCTCAAAGATCAGGTGCTGGCACAGCTGGGCAGCATCACAAGGATGCAGCCCTTGTCCCAGAGAATAAAGGGTCTTCCCTTTTGCCAGAGAACATGGGAACAACCCTTCTTTCTGCACTAACCAGAAGTCTATGCACTCTGGGTGTTCTTACCAACACTTTTCTCTCTCTGGTCTCATCACTGCAGTATGGACAAGCTGATGCATTTAATACTGTGGAATAATACTGCATTCCTCTTCCCTGAGTTACATTCCCTGTTTTCCTTTCCATTAGGAGAAGGGAATCAATCTGCAGGAAACCTATAATGGTCTGAAAACTGATGCAATCCAGCTGGAAGAGAGAAATGTCTTCTGTGGCTCCTACAATATTCGTATCCTCATGGACCAGTGAGTAAACTGCCTGACTGTAGGGCTGAACAGCAGCTTCTGAAAACCTGTCCCATTCCCTGTGATCCTTCTGTGAGAATGGATGGTTGGAGAAGGGTCTCAGCATCAGTGTTAACAAGTCCTCAGTGTCAAATCCAGGTTTTTATGAAGATACCAGAAGTGTTAGTGATCTACAGTGTATCACAAGGGATATGGGGCCAGGAGGAGCCCTCTCCCTTCTTTATCCTACCCTCTGGATGCAAACTTGGGTATGCTGAACTAGGGACCTTGGTTGTGGTGCCTGCAAAGGACTCCTCACTTAAGCATATTGTCCATTGGGTTGTCCAATCAGCCCTAGATCTGTTGTACTCATCTTAGTCACTGTTTCTTACCCAGATCAGACCAAAGCAGAGTAATCCATTACTGTGGTGGAAAGTTGGTAGCTGTTGGCTCTGCAGATCGAAAAGTGAGGTTTCTTGGTATGCCAGGAATAAAGGAACTGCCTCCTCTGCTCTCTGGCCATGCTGGGAGTATCAAAGCGCTCTATCTCAATGAGAAGAAGGGGTTTGTTCTCAGCGCAAGCTTCGATCTCAGCATCAGGTGAGCAATGCTGGGACTGCGCCATGGAACACCAGCCCCTTGGGCTAGGAAATGTGAAACTCTAATCCTTCCACCCCAAGGCTTAAGGAATACTCCTTCCACCACTTTTCATTAGAGTAATGAAGAAAGGACAGTAGATAAAGGAACACATCCCCTGCTCATACAGGACAGCTTCCATTTCCCTGTTCCACCCAATACTGAGCCATAAGAAAGGAAAACACAGGGAAGCACAGGCTTTCTTAAAATGCCCTAAACCACCAGATATGTTTCAAATTAGCCCTTGCAGTGAGATTCTGGCCTTGCTAATGTCAGCATCAAGTTCAGGGTGGCTGGGTTTCTCCATGCCATTCCAGAAGGCCTGTTGTGCGAAGCAGGCTCAACACCCTGGTACAGCTGCTTCTTTCCAGGTATTGCACCCTGAAATGAGGGTTGGAGACAATCAGTTCTTACATTTGCCACCAAATCCTAACAGTATCATGATGAGGGGTGAAAAAAATTGCACGGTTTCATCACAGTCAGCATTTAACAAGGATTTACACCCATTCAGGCTCTGTCCTCCCTGCTCAGAAAGGGTTGTTTGTGTAAGTGTGGGTTTTAGTCCCCTACATAAAGTCAACAGCAATCATCTTGGCATCAGCCTGTAAATAAACAACCTTACCTTGTAAAACTCTGCTCTTTAAGGTTAATTGAAGGTAACCACGCCAAAGTTGAAAACTGGCCACAGGTTTCGAAGCAGTTTAGAGGCTGAAGAACACAGTATATGGATAAAAACTTTAATACTAAGCCTGAATTGATCATTCCAAATCCTCTGACACCTTAGTAGAATGACTCCTGATTTTAACCATGCATGTATGGGAGAAGAGCTGGGCCTATTAAGTAGGAAATTAGCTAATTAATCTTATTGATTAGTAACTTTATTCCTTTTTTGGTTGGTCCTTAGTAGATGCTGGAATCTATACAGTGGTATTTGTGTGAAAATGTTCAATGGCCACAGTGGGACAATCACCTGCTTGGATTTACATGAAGAGCAGTTTGTGACAGGAGCCAAAGATGGGACAGTGAAAGGTGAGAGCCAAGACTAGGAGCTTCCCGGCCAAAGGCAAACAGCAGCAAACAATGGGCAGGGTACACGTGAGGTGTGATGAGTGTGACACGTACAGCGTGTGAGCATGAAACTAAGCCTATAAATCAGAGGGTGAATTTTAGTGTGTCATTTTTGCTTCCAGAACAGCCTAAGCTGTGGACCCATGCTCATACAAGGTCTCTGACTGTGTCATTGAATAAATTCTCATTGTTTCTGCTTCTATTCAGTTCTGTGGCTATAGGGCTGGCCCTTGCTTGGCCAAGTAATATCAACTTTCAGCTTTGCCAGAGGTTTGCTTATAGAATAAGGATGGAAAAGTTGTGTTATTTTCTGAACTTTGAATTTAAAATGTTTTTGCCATGTAGTTATGTTTTAGGTCAACACTTGGCTCCATGTGGAGCTGCAGCTACAAGTTGTAGCTGTAATTCCAATAGTATCTTTTAACTCATGTTGTACTCAGCAAAACTTATCACTGGGGCATATATATTTGTAACATTTTTTCCCCTTTCCCCCTAACAGTGTGGAGCTTGGAGACTGGGAAATGTCTCAAGACTCTCAAGCACAACAGTGCTATTGGGGTGGTTAAAATGAATGGCACCAATATTGTCAGCGGGTCTGACCGAGGGCTGGTGAAGGTCTGGAGTGCTGATACCGGTGCTCTGATCAAAGTAAGTTTCTTCTTAGCTGGATAATTTTGTGCTAAATGGTCAGAAATCTTCTGTGTTAGTTTATCATAGCCTTTTGCTTTTGCCAAAGGCTTTAGACTGCTTTTGGTTTTGGAGAATTCCATAAACTGGTAGAACTATTTATGAACTGCAGAACTACCTGTAAGCAAATAGTCAATTTTAACCCAGGGTTTGATTTGCTTTGCTTAACCCCCATCATCGCTTGTTCTCTGAAGATATCTTCATCTCTGCTCCTGTAGAAATAATTAGATCCTGGGAAGGGGGTGGGAGGGCTTGTCTAACAGCTCTTGGGGTTGGAGGTATCATGGGTTAGCCCAAAATACAAGATTTGCTCTCAGAACCAGTTTATAAAGCTGAAGCTGCTGGATAGCTACTCTGCAATGGGAAGATTGAGGGCAGAGCCTGCTAATTACCTTAGCAGGCAACCAGGATTAGTATTAGTCCACATCTGAGAGGAGTGAAGCTCTCTCTACATATAGAGAGGAGTTGAAAGTTGCAAGATATCCCAGGTCCAGCTGAGCTAAGTTTGCAATTGCCCCTTCCACTATAGCCACAGCAGTCCACTCTCTTCTCTCCTGGGTGAACATTCAAGAGGTCACAAAGGTCTCAGTGCAGTAACATCTATTTAATGTAATAAAGATAGAAAATCGATGTTAATTCCATGCTAGAAGCTCATCATCAGCAAACCCAGAACATTTCTTATAAGTGATTATAAAACTTACACAGTTATCCATAGGGTGCATTGGTATAACAACACCCAGTAAAACTACAATACAATATATAAAGCTGTTTTTCTGAATGCCTTAATATACCTTGGCATACTTACATCCAGATTGTTGACAGTGTTGCACCTATTTCTTTTCCTTTGCAGATACTGGAGGGGCACCAAGGCCCAGTTAGGTGCTTGTCCTTTGATCAGTGGCATCTAGTCACAGGAAGCACCGACGGATATGTCCTGGGATGGAGCATGTTGGGAAAACTTAAAAGATGCCTAATAGCTTTCCGCCACCCTAAGTAGGAATCGGATGTGTTTCAAGTTGTACTCAACAGTCTACTTAATCTGAACACAAAATAGAAACACAAAATGCTTTAATTATCAGCCCTAGTATCTGATATATCCTCACTTTCAATAGTCTTCATCTTAAAACCAGTGTCAGGCACACATGGTCACAACCAGCATGTGCCAGTTAAGACTTATAACAACCTAAAACGCAAGTATCCCTGCTCTCAGGCAGGGATGACTTATGACAGACAGTGCATAGTCCACTATTTTGGGGATCTCAACCTGTATACAACAGGGTTTCACACTATCATTTGCTTTCCTAGACATAAAAATGAAAACTGAAATAGCAGCAGATGGCTATAACTGTACTGGTTGCTATGAAGGTGTGATGGGTTGGTTGGTTTGGGCATGGAGTGATTGTGAAGGACTTCACTATTAGGCCTCTTAAACATCTTGATCAGCTCCTCTGTTTAGGCTGTTGACAGAGGCAGACCTTTGCACCTCCTCCAAGACAAGAGGTATCTGATGGTGTCTCCTTGTTAAAGCATGGTGATGTGCTGTGTTTTGCAGGGAAGTTCTCTCTCTGGAGTTCCTCTATCTCAGAGTCATCAGCGGTTGTGCTGATGGAAAGATCCGTATATTTAACTACTTGACTGGAATCTGCCTGAAAGTGTTGGTGGCCAATAACAAAGGGGATCCCATATCTTCTTTCTATATTGCAGGAAACAGGTTGGTGACAACTGCTGCCATCAGTCTCTGAACCAAATTAGGTAGATGACATTGTAATTTAAGGAATTCTATAATTTTTCCTTTTACTGTCCTTCTCACAAGTCAGTTTTAAAGGGCTCTATTGCTTAGTGACTGCTTTAATAATCATGTTTTTATAACAATGGCTGAAAAGAGATTTTCTTAGTCCACTCAGCAATGTACAATTTCCTGTTTCTATGTAACTTACAATATAGATGCAACTGTAAAGCTGAACTCTGAGCCCAGATTTCTTAAGAGGTAAGAGAATCAAACCAGGGCCTGACAAAGCCTTTTCTTGTTCCTGACCTACTACCTCTTTATAAAAGCCAATAATGAAAAATCCTTCCAGGTTCATTCACTTCTGCACCTCTAAACTAAAGAAAGTTTCCAGCTTTTGTGTAAGCAATAACTAGAACTCTGCTGTGTCATCAATGCTGTTTTGGTCACGACTCTAAACCACAGCAATATACGGGCTGCTATGAAGAAAACTAACTCCATCCCAACCAGACCCAGTACACCCCTCCAATTTAGGTTTAAATGTCCCTAATGACATGATATCTTCAGTTTCTTTTGGCATTGCACTGATCTAGCTCAGTTTGCTGTTGGCAATTTCCATCCTAATTATTTTAGAACTAATTTTACCATAGAGTGGAATGAAAAGAGCCCCACAGAGCTCACACAGAACATAAGTTAAAGTGCGCAGCATCTGACTGATGGAACTAATTGCTATTGCTCCCTTAGAAGCGTGTTGGTTGTCTTGGATCTGTTTAAGGGTTTTGTATTGCACAGAAGCAAATGGGACCCTTAGGTAGTAACTGCTCTGTTAATGTTATCAGTGCTTCTATGGGCTTCCCCTTCCCTTCTCCAGGATGGTGATCAATTCATCAAGCAATCTGCTGCTGCTTGAGTTTGAGGAGACCAGGTGGGACTACACCTTAGATGCTGACAGAAAGGTGGCAGGGAAGAAAAAACAGGACAAAGGGACTTCTCGCAGGAAATCCATTCAGCGAGCGAAGCGCCGCAGTGTCAGCCAGCAGCATCGACCTTCTCGGGCGAGACTAGACCTTGACCTGCATTACTTCCAGCCACCAAAAAGCTCTGGAACATCTCCAAGTATTACACACAGCCTCTGCAGTACACTGCTCTTTTCTAAAATGAGTTAGAAATCATTTCAAGTAGTCACTGCCTTCATCCTAATCAATATACTGACTCTCTGCTTTTCTTGAAGTGCAGTGTGGTAGATGCGCTGTTGCGTTTCCATGGTTCTGTTGATTTTAGGCTTTTGTAAAACCTTTGTACCTTTTGAGACACGTCTGGTATAAATTCAACGTGTTTGTCAAGACAGGCAGTGTCATTTTGCAGCTGTGTAATAGAGAAATCAGTAGTATTCATTTTTACAGCTGGTGTGCATGGAAACATGCTGCTGATTCAGTGCTTGAATTCTTTATTAATAAAGACTCCAGAAAGTCATAGTACACCTGCATTCAGGATCTGCCATCACCAGGAACTGCAACTGCACATAAACAGACACCTTTTAAATTATAACAATTATGTTCTTTATTTTTAAGTCAGAGTTAGTTAACACAGGATGTATCATGAATCTTCCAGCTCTACAAGCTGTATATTGCAGACAAACTGATGGGTTAAGAACTTTCAATGCTTTTAAGGCCATCAGATGCTAACCTCTTTGATGCAGGTAAAAGGAGGTAAAAGATGTACAGTTTGTAGAAGCAGGAAACAAAGAGGAACTCCACCATATTTTAATTTTAGTAGCAAAAGTTATGGGTTGTGTATACATAATATTCTTTAAAACCAACCTTTGTTGCCACCTTTGAATTGTGTGGTTTCTGCTCATCAAATATGTTTGGATTTTTTCTAACACCTAGACTTTCAGAAGCTGTGATAAGAGGCAAAGCAGTAATCAAAGACTTAACATCCCATCAGTTATGTTGATTTCACTAAATAAGTTTCACTTCAGCAGAGTTTAGAGATGACTTATTCTTCCGCTTTCTAGGTCCCTGGTATGAATTGATGACACCAGCAGCTCACCAGCAGCAGCAGCCTTTTCATATTCGGGCAGAGCAGCAGGAAAAGCTTTTCATCCCTGGCACCACGGAAGCCTTGGAAAAGTCAGTGAGAGAATGTTCTGCAAGGATCCTCGCAAATGCTGGTAAGGACAGATGCAGCCTACAGGAGCTGCTTTAGATCAAGCAAATAAACCAGGAAAAGTTCTAAGCTTTAGCTATAAGGCTTCGTTCTCTGGTATCTAGGGTTTTTTTATTGTATCTTTATTCTATTTCTGATTGCTTTATCAGGTGTAGGAGAATTCTGCATGAAACTTATTCAAGTAGTTGGTGTTTTTAATCAATACAGTAACTCAGAAAACTGTTTAAAAACCTTCCTAAGTTGTCCCAGCCAGCAAAACCACTGCAACCTGCAACTTGCAAATGAGACAGTGCTGAGATCAGTCTGTGGCATGTGGCATGTGTCTCCTTAAGGTAGTTTTTCTCAGGTTTTATATTTAGAATCTGTTGGGATCTTTAACACAGACTGATGTCTTACTGCAGAAGAGCTGTACCAATTGTAAGTCTCTAACCCTAAGCTCCTGGTGTTTGTAACTAAGCTGCAGGGTCATATGTATGTGCGGATTAAACAGTTCTAAATCCTGTGAATGAGGAACAAGGAGTGATTTTCATTAGCTTGTTTTGCTGTATTCTGCCTTTCTGCACTGTAACTTAATGCTCTCTGAAACACATTCCTAGAGGGCAGAAATTTCAGCTAACCAGTCTGGAAAAACATAGTTGTACTGCAAAGCAACAATACACAAATGATGTGACACTGCAAAGTGACAAATGAGTTGCTGCAGCAAGGCCATGGGACTAAGTGTCTTACTCTGTCTTGCCATCCTCATCTAGTTCTTAGTCAAGGGCATAATTACACTACCCATCTTGATGTGTCTGTCATACACAGGTCCCTCCCTATATGCCTTGATGTAGCAAAGTTAGGCTATGAAGCATGTCTTGTGATTTCCAATTCAAATGCATCTCTGAGTAGTAACAGTTCAAGTGGTTCTCAGATGTTAAGCTACTCCAAAGATTTCTGCTGGGAACTGACTTGTCTTGAAGCCTTTCCCAAAGCAGACTGTAAGATAAGGAAGGGGTGCATGGAAAAAGGTGCTGAGGAACCTCATTCCTTTCAGAAACCATTGTTTCTGAAAGGTGGATACCAAACCAGCCACAAAGTGCAATGTACGCTAAAGAATCTGACTTCAGTTTAACCCACACAGGCTCTGGCAAGGAACACTTTTCAGTTAACTGGGACAGAATTGCCTCTGATGTTGGCAATGTCACTAGTGAAGCCAAGAATGAGTAAACTGAAATGGGCACCATTGGCTTGTAGCTTCCAATGCTGCCTGTTCTGTAGATATACTTGGACTGCCCATATGCAGGTCAATCCAGCATCCATCCCTGGTCTTACTCTGAGTACTACCCTGCCAACAACGATCACAAAAACCATCCTCAACTCCAAATGTATTGTTTTGTTTTTGGAAACAGGTGGCAAATCTGAACAAGGCTGTGACAAGGCAGAAGCTACTTTGCAGCATGAAAGGAAAAGAGATCCAAGATGTCCAACGTCCCCTGACAAGTTCCTCTTAATGGTCGGCACACTGCAGAACGCCTGCAAGCCAGCCCCGGACAGCTCCAGCACTGAGCATGATGTGAAAGTCAGGGAAGCATGGGAACCTCCTCCAGAGCATCAGTACCCTGCAAAGGTACAAAAGTACAAAACTCCTCTGCCACACAAAAGGGATCAGACAGTCCAGCTCCAACGTGCAAGACTGCACAGTGATTCTCTGACTGTGAGAAGAATTTCTGTCCCCTTTGAAACCAAAATGCTGCAGCTCAAGCTCAAAAACTCTTTGTATGGACCCAATGTGAATTCCTCCATCCCTGCTCCTTCTGTGGTACGTCCCAAGACTTGTGATTTGTTGAAGGAAAAGAAAGCTCACAGTGGTCATGGTAAAGCTGTTTCTTTCGCAGAAGAGGAGGTTCATGTCGCCAGTCCCTTTGCAGCTTCTTCTCAACTGATCAAATCAACACGTGTGATCATTGCACAAATGAAAAATGAAGCGTTTTCGATGAGAAGAAAGTCCTTCTGTCCATATGCTGCAAGCCCCTCCTGGAGTGATGGGGAGTTCAGGCTTCTGACAGGGAAACAGAAGGAGGCGTATGAGGCAGCTGCTGTAGCACAGTATCAGGCACAGCAGGAAAAGCTCAGAGAAGAACAGCAAAGAGCACGCAAGAAGGCCTGGTTAATGAAAATTAAAGGCCTACCTATAGACTCTTTTACTGGGGAAGGGAAAATACCTGCTCCTGAACTTGGGTTTAACACATTTATCTGATCTTACCTCATTGAGGGATTATTTCCACTGTAAGTTTTTTTCCAATGATATTGGTACATTCAGCTATTTCCCAAGGCAAGGAAAGGGCTGAGTCCTCTCCTAGATGCTAGACCTGCAGTTACTACAAACACAGCACTGTTTGACAGGAATACAGCTCAACATATGGTGCAACTGTGACTAATAATAATAAAAGTCTCATTAGAGTTCATGTGGATTAATTAGATTTATAAGCTGAAGAAGTGCGGACTGAAAACTGCCTGAGCATCTGAGCTGAGAGGGTGGTGACCTCAGCATGAGTCTAGTTGGAGGCCAGTAACTAGTGGTGTAGTCCAGGGGTTGATACTGGGCCTGATTCTGTTTAACATCTTCATTAATTAATGATGTGGATGATGATGATGCAGATGATGCAGGCAAGGGTGGCTGATGCACCAGATTGTTGCTGCTGTCTAGAGGGACCTAAAGGGGTGGGCTGAGAGAGATCTGGTGCAGTTCAGCAAGGGGAAATGCCAAGTTCTGCCCCTGGGGAGGAACAGCCCCAGGCACCAGGATGTGCTGGGGACACCCAGCTGGAAAGCAGCTTAAAGTTTAATTTGTGTTAAACTAGAAACCATTACTTTCTTATTTCTCTGTTTTTGTGGATAAAATGGCTTAATATGCTTGGTTTCCACTAATGCTCAGGACTTAAATCAGCTTGAATTGGGAAGACAAACACCCTTCTAGTTGTGCAACTGTGAGTATATGGGCCAGCATAGCAGAAATTTCTCTGTTATCGTCTTGTGCTGAGGACACTCCTGCTCACAGGTAAGCCAAAGGTCCTTCTGGCAGCAGTTCTGGTTTGCGATTAAAGTCTGGTTAGTTTTGGTTTGCTTATTTTAATGTCATTTTCAACTCCCAAACCCTGGGATTAAGCCAGACATTGCTAACAATGGACAGTAAGTTGTCTGAGGTGGCTTTGCCTGTTGTTAGTTTTCAGACCCGAAGCAGCAAGGATTTCACTCTTAACCACGGGATGGCACTTTCTCACAAGAAATCAGGCTTAGCCCAGCACAGCTGCAGCCAGAAGCCCTTTGCAACAACTCCCCTGGAAAAAAGCATGTAACAGAGAAGTCTGATGGAAAAACATCACGGAAAGTCTGATGCCTTTTTAGTCGTGCTGAAGTGAGGAGGATTAAAGTGTCATCTTCCTATTTGGAGTCAATAAATCAGAATCTGCCTGCAGGCGTGGGTTCTCAGGCTCTTTTGAGATGCTTCAGCCAAAGAGTTGTGTGAAACTACTTACAAAGGCAGAACTGGACCAGGTCCTTTTGTCATCTCCTTTAGTTCAGCACAGAGGATGCAAAGCCAGAAGCTGGGCACCAGAGATGCGTTGGAAGGGAATTAACATCTGGGCAGATGTCATACATGGTATGTGAAGCCACTTACTAAAGTAACTAAGCGGTAGTTTTACTCTTTAATAACTCACTTCTGAATTAAACTGACCTTTCTGCATGCATGGCCTTTGGCTGGGCAGGGGAGACAGCCTGGGGGTGCGGTGGGCAGCATTGCTCTTGTGCATGATGGGATGTACCTGCAAGCAGAGAGTAAGCCAGGCTGAGCTTTGTTGTAGGTAGGTGCTGTTAATGTTGTACTTGTCATCCACAAAGTGTAGATAACCTTATCCTGGTGTGATGATACCGTATTGATGTTGCAGTGATTTTGTCTGTATAGCTCGACAGGCGCTTCTGAACTAAACATGCCTTGTGAGTGTTTGTTATAGCTAGAAGTGTTTGTATTTCAGCAGAGGAATGGTGCCTGACATGTCATGATGCGAAGGAGCCAGAGAGTAATAAAAAGAGGCAACAGCAGGGACATAAAAAGCAAATTAAGTGTTTATATAGTATTGTATTATCAGTAATAGCTTTGGATTGCCTGTGAAATGGCATGCTGACTTAAGCAAGCATTGCATAGGAATACACCAAGGGATGAGCTAGTCCCCAAAATACTTAAATCCGAGCTAAATACATAGTCCTTCAAGAATACATCAGCTGCCAGATCCACCCAGCAAGCAGTTATAGCCTGAACTGGTTATGGTAAGAAAGCCGAGACCCTTTTTGCTTCAACCAGGATCAAGTCATGGTCCTTCAAATAGGCAGCAAGTAATAAAGCAATGTTGTGCCTCATTGCGCAGCAACCTCTCCGTTCCCCTGCGCTTGCCAGAACAGATGGAAGAACAACTGGAAGGAATAACCATATCGTTAACTTTGCCGCCTTCCTTTCCCAATGTAGCGTGAATTTACTCATTTCTTCCCTAATGCATGTTTCCTGCGTTGTTCACATACAAACCCCGCTGGGCAGCGTGTTTGAGATGAGCTCTTTGCAGATGGGTTTCCTGCAGCCACTGACGGACCCCTGGCCCTTGCTGGTGGTGGCAATGAGCAACTTTGAGATCAGGGTGTTGTGAACTTGTGCTTTTTCTCCTCCGAGCTCTGTGCCTTGCTGTACACTTTGTAGAATTGGAAGCTTAACACGTCCCCTCTCAGGGTGGCTCCTCAGGCTTCCCTTGCTCTACAAATACTGCTCTATTCTCAGTCTTTTCTATCATGTTTTTTAGGGTATAGAGTTGGGTTTGTTTGGTTTTGACCTGCGCCAGAAGCAGGGAGGGGCTGGAGCAGCTCTGCTCTGGAGCC